ATTTAATCTGCCTTTAATATATCGTCTTTACATTCTTTATTGTTGGATAAAAAAAACTAACCCTGTAAGAACACGCGAGTAACATTTTACTTTTTGATGATTCACTGAAGCGTGTGGCTACTGATTAATGTTTTGTTCTAGAGAAACATTTTGCAATTTAATAAGTGAAACTATAAGGTTTCCCTTAATATATTCCTAAACATATCCGTCACACTCTCATTCTCTTTCCCTAACACGAGTTCGGGAGTGCGTGGCTAATTCTGGGGGAAATGGACTGGAGCAAGAGTGGACGTGAGCCGAATGTTTTCAAGATGGTTCCGGACCTCTTCTTCAAAGCGAGAGGTAGAAGGCCTTAATGGAAGGATGGCTAAATGGATTTAAACTTGAGCCCTGGATAGAGCTCTATTGAACAAGAACGGTCCATAGCAATTAGTGTCTGTAGTAAGCTTATTGAGTTGAACCAGCACTGGCTTAAGCTTTAAAGGGTGAGAATAAATTTATATTAAATTAGTTAAACAACGACAAACGCTAAAGGACGCCCGGAAAGGTTAAGATAAGACATTTGTATAAATGTTATGTCAGAAAAGAGGAGAAGAGTTGAAAGGAGGAGGGTGAAAAATCTTCTTTGTGGATCAAATTGATAGGCAGGAGTCACGCAAGAGGTCCCTCAGTCCTTTCCTTTCTTTTTCTTCTCTTTTTTTTTTATTTTTCAACTAACACCATTCTACTCACTGGTCGTTACCACTACTGCTAGGAGGTTTTGATTTATACGTTAATAAAAAACAAATATTAATACATAAATTGAAAGTATAATTTATATTAGAAACGGTAAATAGCATTAAGTGGGACACGTTTTTATTATTAGAGGCTGCTGTAAGTTTAGACAGTGATAGTTTTCTATATTTTACTCTTCTCATTTTTATTAATAAGTAAATACCCACTCTTACACACATATTTAACTTAATTTTACGTAGTCCTGTCATAAATATTGTTACAAGGAAAATAAATAGATTTCAAAATGTCCCTCTTTTGCCTTGACACAGGCATTTAATCTCCGTGGCCAGTCATCAATAACACCACGCAGCAATTCTTAAGCAAAGAGCTCAACAGCTCGGACCAAAGATTGTTTGAGGCTTTCCAAGTTAGACTTTGCTCTGTGGCATGCCATCCTATCCAGTTCGGACCAAAGCCGATAATCTAGTGGGTCGAGATCTGTCACATACAGATAGGGTCTCATTATATCTATTTATAGTGCGGTACACGAACATACGGCTGATACCCAAAGGTTTCAAAGTGTTAAAAATCTCTAACCTATATTTTCCAACTTTGTTAAGGCGATCACAGCTATTCGGTTTTCTTTAAGTCAACTCCAAGTTAACTAGGCGAATGAAAAATACAAAATAATTGGGATTATTATCCTGACATGTGAAGAAAATAACATGATAGAGGTAATGATTATCTAAATAATACCCAAGGATATAAACAAAGTTCAGCTTTTGTAACAGTGTTTATGGCAGAACTAGGTATTGGTTTACAAATTTTCGCAACCTAAATAATTAAATATAGTATTTCCAAGGCAATTGTTACCTTTTTCATCATTCTAATGTAACTTTTTCCATTTCAAATGTAACCAATTTCGTTTCAAATGTGGCCCTTTAAGGTTAAATTTGAATTGGAGAGGCTTACATTTGAAATGGAAAAGATTACATTTGATTTGGAAAATTTTACATTTGAAATGGAAAAAGTTACATTAAAAATGAAAAAGGTTTCGATTGCCTGGGCAATGCTATATTACAATAATTCTAGCTCTAGATTAATTAAGACCGAGAAAAAACGAAGGCCGCAGCTACCTCTAGGAGGCCACATGCGACCTAGAGGCAGCAGGTTTCCCACCTGTAGTATATAGCATAGGGGAGGAACCTTTTTATCATTAGAGGCCGCAGTAAGGTTTAGGCAATGCTAATGGAGGTCGCAATAATTCTTTATATTTTACTGTTTTTGTTTATAAACATACACTACATATTATACATATATTAAATTTAATTCTATTAATTTTACATTTTCGTATCTTAGATAATTAAATATTTACTTATTCTAGCGCTAGATTAATAAATATTGCTTAAAAACGATTGGAGGGTCCGCAGGTGCGTCACGCAGGCCGCATACGGCCTAGAGGCCACAGGTTACCCACCAATGGTTTTTAATATTTAACATTATTGAACTATTTATTACACATATTTAACTTATTATTTCAGTTGAAATTATTAATAAGTTAGTGAATTTCTTTGTTGATCCGTTCTTCTTGTCACTTCAGGTGTGTGGTGGTTTAGTAAGTAAGAAAGGCATGTTAACACGTCAGCGTGGATATGCAATTTAAAATAGATGACAATCTTGTTTCATTGTACCTAATTGAAAATGTATTAAAGAGAAGGTATTATGCGATGTTTTGCAAATAAGAATCAACGATAAAGTTTTCCAATAAACAAATCGTAATCTTTATATAATAAGATTCCATTTAATTTTGTTGGCAATATTCGCATTTATACTAACATCTTTCAGACCTGTTGCTTATTTTATGTAAGGTTAATAAAACGCAATTATAATAACAAATTCAAACTGATTAAACTAGACAATAGTTTAGTTTTGGAATTACGATACAATGCTTATAGAACCCCGAAACATAAATAGATTATTTATTTATTTTTATTATTATTTATGAAATTTACAACTATACAGATTAATATACATTCAGCAAATGTGATAAAGATAAATAGATGGAATGACAAGGCTTGTAGAGAATCTACCATTAGGGAGCATTCTAATAAAGTATCTAAATTAGGAGATCACAAGCCATCTTCTTTTTATACGCCTGGGAGGGTGATTATGGATCGAAGAGGAAGCAAGGTTAGAAACGAGAGGATTAGGATGGTTATGAAGTTTATTATGGAAGGATAGGTATCTGAATTGGGCCAAATATGGAACATTCAGGTCATTATGGATTATTTTATTTGTTACAAAGTAAGGAGCATTAAGGATTTTACCAAGGGTTTTGGACTGAAAGATTGGTTGGAAAAGAGATTTGATGGTTTAGTGGAGTCTTAAAGCTCAACTCCGTAAGTCCAAATAAGTGTTATAGTAGTCATGCACATGAGTCTTTTGTAATTAATTGAAAGGTTTGCGCGTTTGTCTGGTAAGTGTTGAAGCAGTCGGAAACTTATCGTTTCAGTCTGGTATGAGGATTCCGTGTTAGACGTTTTGTCCAGGTGGGGAGTTCTAGGTTCAATAGATTATAACAGAAAACAAAATAACATATGGCAGATGTTATTGCTCGACCTTCAAACATAATTTTTAGACTTCCTACAAACTTTAAAAAGACAATTATAAAACTAGATATACTTATGGTAGCGCTGGTAAAGGAATTTCTATACAATACAACCTTTAGATACAATGTATTTTATGATCACATACAATATTTTATGTTTTATTTGTACTTTAGATTAATAAATAGTTAACTGCATGTTTAATTATTTATCGTCAGTGTTCTGTGAAAAAGGCGAATGCAACAATTCAATACTTTTAAGATGAGCATATTTTACAAGACACATAAGGGAGTAATGTTTTCGTCATTGTTGCATAGGAGGAGGTATGAAATATAAGTATAAATATGAAAATTAGAGATTACTTCGAACTGTATGGGTAAAGACTTTATTTAAATATTTCTTCTAATTAAATATGACGAAGAATGCAATGTTTAATCTTATAAACATTTATAGATTTAAATTTTCTGGTTGAACAAAACCGCACTGTATCAGCCATATTAGTTCATTACAACCTGGTTTTGTCACAAGGGACTGGGTGAAGTGCGGTTGAAATCTCCTGGGGTTTTCTGCACCATGTTGTACATAGCAGGTCGGAACTCCCGCTAACAAAACTACGGTTTCAAATGTGTGAATGTATTATATTTACGATCTGAAATTCCCAAAGCACAATTTAGTTTGAAAACTGAAATGGATCGCAACAAATATTTGATGTGTGTGTCCCTAAATGTGGAGTTTCATGAAACTCCACATGTTCTATAGTTTCGATTGCAGCTTTGTTCGACATTTTTTAAAACTGATAACACTCAACATAACTTTTTCTTCAAGATAATTAATTTAATTAACGAGATAAGACACTGATAGTCATATATTTTTTCAGATATTTTCACAATGAAAACTAACAGCATCAGCTGAGATTCAATTTTCTCTTAGTTTTTATTTTAAAAAAGATATGAAATTTTGTCTATGGTGTTAAACTATTAACCAATGCTTTAATATTTTCTAAAAGTTGTAAATTTGATATGTTTAGAGTATGTAGATATATAGTATTTTAAAAATACTAATTTTATATAGCTTTTATTTATTAAGCTATGTAGATAATTAGAATAATTGTCAAACCAGCATTAGGACTGTACGTAATTGAATAATTGAGATATCCAAAAACAAATAATGAAGATCGAATTTTCAAAGGAACAAAGAAGCGCGAAAGTCAAAACGCTATCCTATATATCTCTGCAACAAATGGTCTGATTCAATGATTTTTTTTTGTTTTGTAAGAAAAACTTTATCTCTATAATAAACAAAACAATTAATCAACGAAAAGTGCTTTTGAGAATTCCTGCATATTTCTTGAGTTATTCGCAAATAACATTTTGTAATAATCAGAACTTTTTTTCTAGCTCTTTTTCAGGGAAGTATGTTAAATAGATAAATTTATATGGTTTTATAGGGAATGCTTTAATGAAGTTTTTATCGAAATCCTTACATCGGTTTAGTGTTACAGTCTAAAGAGAAACGGTTTTTTCGCCGCCATCTTGAAACAAAATGGTGGCTGTTGATGAGACCCCCAATGGAATCTCTCCAATACTAACTTAATATAGATTCATAGTTTCCAACTTTATTAGGAGGAGCTGTAGAGATGCTTAATATAAACAGAGGAAAAAGTGCTGAAATTTAGACGAAATGTATCCAATTCCGCCTGGGAAACTTCAAACGCAACCCCGCTATCCACTGACGACTTATGATCCAGTGCAAGTACTTATTATATCCGTAGAAAAATAGACAAAAAAAGGCTGTTGCTTGCCAGGTTCTGAAGTCCGATAACCAAAGCTTTGTGCATACACCTCCATTTTTTTCTCTCAAAAATCATATCATTTTACATATTCAAGGTTATTTCTTACATGTTTTAAACTCAGAAGTTCAACTAAATACTTAGTTAAGTCAGATAGTTGATGAAGAATGATACTGTAATTATAATCACCGTTAAGAAAAATAATTATAGTATATTGCATATTGTAAAACGTGTTTTATATCCGACACTCAAATTCTGGCCAAAGACAGATAATAGTTGTTTTGAATAACTATTGTAATGAGAACATAAGAATTATATTTGAATTTTAGATGTCAAATAAACTTTAACATGATTCTAATTTAACATTCTCTTCCCAACTAACGATTAAATAATACTCATCATCTCCAAATCATACTTTTCGAATAGTTCAAATCTTGACGGCTTTATTTCATTAATATCTCATACACACGACACAAAGTTTGAAGAATGCAGCTGGGATTATTTCGTGCGAAACGACCGTTAAAACTTTCCTGAAATAAATGTGACATAGCAAATTCCAGAAAATTATATGCACTTATACCTATAATTCGTATAGTTGAAGATTGAAAAGTATAACAACAAAACAAAGATGATAAAGAACAGATATGGGTTGCAATATTTCAATATCTTATACTTACATTACATAAAACAATAAGCAGTTTTATTATAAGTATAATAACGGTACTTTTATAGTCTATAAAAGTAAATAACAATTTTAGTACTTTATAGTCACAACTACAGTGACTATTTTACAGTCATTGACTTTGGTTACAGTTAATTTTCTTGTTCGTGTCAAAGTGTTAGTTAACATGTTAAGTTAGTAGATGATTGATCTCTTCGCGTATATATATATTATATAGTTATAAAATTTTATTTATTATGTTGTTCGTTTTATAATTATAATTATGTTAAGTATCGCTTTATACACAATATAAACTCTCTATTTTTGGGGGTGTAATGGCCTATGGTGGCCATTCTTACATTTGACTTTCCCTAAATTTCGTTCTATTTTTAACTAATTTTATCAATTTTCACTTTTAACACAAACAATATTTATTTCTTTATAAAAATACCTACTTTAAATCTGTCTCCATATACTATAGTACGGGGTTGCTGTATGAGGAAAGGAGATTAAAAAAAAGTTTTATAATAAAACAAATGATTAAGAATGTGAAGTAGAGAGTAATAAATATTATAAGGAATAAAAAGTAAATAATTGAAATAATAAATCAAAATAATATTAAATAAAAATAATACTGAATAAAAATAAGACTGAATAAAAATAAATAATAGTTAAATTAATAATAAATAATACTCTAGTGATCTTGGAATAAAATAATATTAAATATTTAAATAATGGAAAAGATATAGTTAACTGTAGATACATGTGAGCCTTTCAGTTGAAAGAATTACTTAGGCTGATTTAACATTTTTGATTATTAATTTTACTTATATTTCTAGTGGAAAAATGTATACTTTTATTTTCAGTTCTGTATTTCAACACTGAAATAGTCCGTTGTATAAACCCCTTACTTTTTCATCAAATTATTAACATCCGCCTGAAACTTCGTAAATAGCGACATCTCATTGTCACTCTCGGAATTGGGGCGTTTTCAATCTGGAGATGAGAAAACTTTGTCTATTTAAATAGGTATTAAAATTCACGAATACCCATAGGCTTTCCACTTGATTCGTAAGATAATATCACAACAAAATCGAAATAAAAAGTGGCCTACAAAAATATTAGGCCATTTGGCCTATATAACCACGTTATTTTGACATTTTGGGAGTGGAAATCAAATGGGTATTTATGATTTTTAAGTAACAAATCAAATAGTCTACGTTTACCGATCTCCGGATTGAAAACGTCCCAATTATGAGAATTTTCGCAAATAAAATATTTGTAGATTACGATGAGATGAAGCTATTCTCGAAGTTTCAAGTGGATGTTAATAATTTGATAAAAAGGAGCTGTACGATGGGCTACTCTGGAATCAACTTACTGTCTGTACAGATATTACAAATTTCCCAACTAGAAATATCACTAAATTGATTTTACTCAAAAATGTTAAAATTTGAGTTAGTGATTCTGTCAACTAAAAGGCTCATATAATAAAAGAAGTTGCTTAGGGGTGGCAGTCAATAGTGTTGCCCAAATGCGAGACCGAGACGAGTCATGGTCTTGCAAACTCAGTCTTGGTTTAGGTCTTGGTCTTGTGAAAAATTCTCGTAATAGTTTTGCAGTTACCTATTGGCTTATTACTAAAGAGATATTACTGTAATTTTCTAGATATGAGAAACCTAACTAAGTCTGCTTGAAAAATTAGAAGATGAGAAGGAGTGGATCGGGGGGTGCGGTCAAATAAATACTAAATTATACGATTAGTATTCTTTAATTTTTTTTTCGACGTTTCGACCCACTTTGCAAGTCTTCATCAGGGCATAGGATGTAGCACTGCGGGAGGCTGTTGAAACACTGCCTCCCGCAGTGCTACATCCTACGCAGTGCTACATCCTACGCCCTGCAAAGCGACGATGAAGACCTGCAAAGTGGGTCGAAACGTCGGCAAAAAATTAAAGAATACTAATCGTATAATTTAGTATTTATTTGACCGCACCCCCCGATCAACTCCTTCTCATATTATATCACGGTCAACCATCTCTACATAATGAAAAATTAGAACAGTTAAATGCAGAAGTATATTGGTTACACCAATTCTTTACATATAATAACTAAAATTGTCAAGTATTAGTAACTATTTTGCCTCAAGTTTTATTTACCAAGTTTGGTATTGGTATTGCAAAGTGCAATTTTGGGCAACACTAGCGGTCAGTGACATACACATAAGAAAATGATTTTTTTTTTTGTTCTTCAATGACTGCTGCCAACAAACAACCACTCTTATAGCAGTAAAAATAATAATAAATGAAAATAATATCTAACATAAAGTAATAGAAATAAATGATATTAAAAATAATAGGTTATATAAATAAATAATAAAAACAAATATAATAAAATGAAATAAAAATAAAATAAATAAATAAAAGAAAATATTTACCGGTTGAGGAGGAGGGGGGAGCGGGGGCGGCGGGGAGGGCGGCGCTAGGAAGTCGTCGAGGAGGTAGAAGGACTGTGGCCGGGGGGAGCGCTCCCACAGCGGCCTCTGGCGCAAGCAGCTGAACGAGGAGCTGTGTCTCAGCTGCCGATCCTCCTCTACCCACATCTTCTCTCTTAGCAATAGTAATAGTATTATAGTTAGTATAATACGTCATAAGTATAACAATAATCAACCTCCACCAACATCATCATCAATCATCCCAGCGTAGGTTAGTCCAATTAGTGAGGCGGAATGTTAGAAAAGAACAGAGTTAGTTAATACATTTTTATTTTGCATGCATCAAAGTATCTTGAGGCAAGACTCACAAAAAAGAGACCATGAGGACGACCCCGGAAATCTTGGATGGATGGAATAATCAAGCTTGGACATAAAAGAGGCAAGCAATTGGGTTCTATGGGTATTCAGGCAAAGGACCGCGAAGACTGGTGTAAATGGATTGAGGCCCCTCCACGCTGAAAGGCACTAAGGAAGAAGGAAAAGAAGTTGGAAAAGGATTGCTAATACAGATATTCAAGGCTCACGATCAAAGCTTTGTATTAGAAATTGTAGCAAAGTAATTTAATTTTAAGCGTAATTAATATATAGTTTAAAAGAGTTTCACTAACAAAGTCCGGGATTGTAGTAGTCATATTTTCCCGCTAGGTGTGGCAGGAAAATAACCTTATCTTGTTAGTCATTCTATCAGGAAATTTTATATCGAATTACAATTTCAATTAATTTAACTCCATATTTGGGTCCTCTCACAAATAATGGAAATATTTAAAGAAATAAACCTCAAAAACGTTTATTCAAGCAATGTAATGTTGAGAGATAGCCTCTCCCTTATCAATTCAATCAATTTTAAAACTTAGTCATTGCTCAACCTCGACATCTTTAATATTAAGAGAATATAATGAGGTCACACGGATAGTAATATAACTAGTTGGCTCGTGCGAATAATTAGCAAAGAATATCAATCAGTAAACAAATGACAAAATAATAAAGAAATTAAATAATTCATGTCTTATCATAAGATAATTATTTATCTGGTGATTATAATCGACCAAGAAAAAGAAAATTATTATAAAACTTCATTCATGTTTTAAACAAAAATGTTTACGAATTACAATAACTAATATCTCAGCCAATAATGGTCCGATTTTTTTTGTTATGTTGGAAATTTAGGAATCTTTCAAATAGTCAATAAACAATGAACATAAATTACTTTTTATTATAATTACTATGTATGTATATTTTTTTATAATTACTATACTTTTTGGTTTATTCGCTAATAAACAATGTCAACGAAAAAAAAAAAAAAAACTTTGGATATAACATTTAAAATTTAAAAACTGGTGACATACACACCATGCTTTGATGTATAGTTTGTTTTCTGAAAAGAAGGAGCGTTGCTGTAGTTAAGTCAAAAATAAATAAAAAATCGTCACATTGGTCCCTCGAGTTAACGAAACTCTTTTCCACGGTTAAATCTCTCGACCAAAGCGAAATAATTCAAGAAGCTTAACCACGCACCAAGGTATTTTACAGACAGTGAAATAATCACACATCAAGGATACACCTGGCAAGCAAGATCAGTGTAGCTTTCTCAACATTTTTATTGGTTACATAATAATTTATATTTCTAGAACTATGAAATATACGGTCGATTGACTATAAAATTTAGGGAAGAAGCTGTTTTGGAAAGATATTAATATCAAGGAAAAAATACACATAAAAGCAAAAGAAGTCGACGAAGTTTGATACCAATATCAATACTGATATATACTCATGATACCGTATTGTCCCTCACGATCCCTGAACA